CAGAACAGCTGCGCAATCCACGCATTTTAGCTGATTCCACCCGATGCTGGATCAAACAAACTTGCCATCTCTCCGAGATCGCTGAATTTCTAGCAAACTTCATTGCAAAAACCTCATTCCGATCCGCCAGGGCCGGCGGCTGTATAATCTGGAACTTTCCACACTTTCGGTAAAAATCAATTAGACTAGAATTCGTTAAGATCCATGCAGAAAATCAAATCGCAGCCAAATCTACACACAAAATCCTAAAACCTTCAAGAATGATGGATGCGAGGAGAAGAGTCGAATACATGAAGCGCTGAGATTGGCACGATGTGTGATATCGCGCAATTTAAAAGAAGTGTTGAGATTTTAAATTAAAATCATGGAGCAAGGTAAGACAGTCGAACTATTGCAAGTCTACATCTAATTTTTTCGCAAAAAAGTAATAGATGAGGGTTCGCTCGATGTCACTTCACAGATCTGAGCCATTGCTTGTTTAACATGGTATAAAGTTTTTTTATCGAGAATTTTCAATGTTGCATCGCAACTATTAAACCACTAGGCATTTTTTTTGGAAGTACTGTAAAGGTTATAGCACTAAGAAACTTTAAAATTGTGTTTATTTATGGCTTGCATAAACATCCATATTTTCACCTGGCTGCCACCAATACGTCCAACAAAGGACGAACATCCGCCACCGTCGAAAAATTCGAGTCGATCGACATTCGGACCACCTTCGTCAAATCGAATGCAGGTGTTATTTTGCCAAAGATTCATGGCTTCTCTGAAATATTCCATATTACTACAATAACATTAACAAATAACGTGATGTCGTCGTTCGAACCACTACCGACTGATGGTAGCGCACCGGATTTTTTCACGCGTACGATATTTGATCGCCTCAGTGAAGTCGAAGCTTATCGCACGTGTACGATCCCAAAGCTTGTAAAGTGGAACACGACCTATCTAAATTTTTAACACGTTAATCTTGAAAAGTATTCAGATGAGTACAGGAAAGACAGTCGTAAAAAACTAAAAATGAAGAGCAAATGCATAACTTTACTATTGTCGATGGTTAGGAGTTTTAGAACATACACAGTGATCTAAGCTTATAAAAAACTGTTCGGTTGAACATTTTTTGTTTACTCTCATGATGACTGATCTCGTAGGAAATTATAAAAGTGAGCTGTTTCTTTAACGAATACTAATCTATTCGAATCGATCGAATACGCTCGAATAATAATCGAATACGCTAATCGATTCTACTTTTTCTAAGAAATCTTGGTACGAATACGATTTTTGAAATTAAAATAAGACAGAGCATGCAAGATCACATATAATGCTTCAGACCTTGCGTTTCTCTCTGTGTCCCTTTGTGAAGACTTTCTCTATTTGCAGAACCTGTTGTTCCGAAAGATCGACATCGCCTTGGAAATAATCCTCTGGATCGTTAATGGACAGTTCATCCTAGAAGCATTCGTTTTGCTTTACATGTGGGCTTTATAATCATGATGAGAAATCGCAGACACTTTCAGTGTAGGCATCACTTTAACCTTATTTCTTCTAGCCTTCGGATCCCTTCTAAGATCTGCAAAAGGGTCCACTTGATCATTTTGCCGAGTGCTGATCAATCTGGAATATCGGTTTTAGAAAAGGAGATAACGAATAAGGACCGCCATAAATAATTGGAATATTGTTGAAAAATTTTGCTTGCTATTGATTAAGCTTATCTGGATTAGAAGCATAGGCTTATTTTCAGTATAGTTGCCTTACAGATCTCCGTTGCACGATAAACCCAGAATTCATAGATGTCTATTGCTATCAACGGCTTTTGGTATGTAATGAGATAATCGCAGAAAACAACTACTGTCACTTTAAAGATTATCAATTCATGCTGTACTTTTGAGATTTTCTCACTCTCTAACACTGACAACATCAGAGAATGTTATATTACCTAGCAACATCATCGTTAAGCACTTGTTTTAAATGTGCCAGTGATTTACGACTAGCACGTTGTGCTCGCAGTGCTGTTGTAGAATGCAGCACGAACGGTAAGTATAGAGAAAAATAGAGGAGACTGGCGATATGCATGATAGTGCTTGTAGGGGTAGCTAAAACCAGCTCCCTCCCACGGCGTTCTATGAGTCAGCACCCACAGCGACGATATAGACGAATCTTAACAGCTTTTCGTATGTTGGAAACTACTCATGTGCATATGCACTATTCCCATAGAATATAAAGAGACCGCCTTCTATCTCTCTGTTATATGATGTTACCGCACTTTTCATACCGCTGGTTATTCCATGAGGACTATTTAGCGGTGTTTCCTCATAATGTGATGACTTTTCGCCGTTTCCTCCTGCCCATATGACTCAAAAAAAAATCAGGCGCAGAACACGAGAGAAGGAGGAAGAAGAGGAAGAAGACATACGCAAAAAATTTCTTCTACTAAACTAGTTAGTACAAAGCAATTTGAAGAGAAGTAGTGTCAACAAAATCGCTTCGAAGATGGGCATTCCAATTCCTACGACTATTGAACGAACGCTACGCTTAGTACATTTGCAAGGCGTTAAAAAGCTCAACAAGCTACTTCCGCATCACCTCATTTACACAGTTCAAAACGACGTAACCTATATAGATAAATAATTGTTGACGTTAACAGAAACCGCCACATATAAGTACGGAGTAGTAAGATATCTTCTGATTTCCTCAGTCCTCAGATTGCTCAGCTAAACGAGGATGTACGAGACCTCTATTCGGATATTCGGTTCCTCTTCATCAAAGCGGTGATCAGAGTTACTTGAACACAAGAGTTCATCATTACTGCGTATGTTTTCGTAGTCACATTGTGTTGAGAATCCTAGAGTTGAGTAACATTCCAATGAGCTAACCTCATTGTATTTCTATACAATGTGATTGTTGATTGACTGATGCTTCGTTGATAATAATTTGCTTTTATTCGGAAAACTATCAATGGACAATCAATCAGTCAATATCAAGAACGTTCATTATAACGGTCCGCTACAAAAGCGAACTGCCGATTGAGGTTACTTAATTTGAGCGGTGCTGCATCCTGGAGATTCGAGTTGATGGAGATGCGAAGACCAACATCGCGTCACCGACCAGCAATGGACAATCGATTCGAATCGTTCCGGCTCCGAAGAAGCAAAGGCACTGAAGAGTTAGCCGAATAGATTTCTGTAAAACCCTTGTGTTATCCTACTAATAGAAAGAAAATTGCGCTAATTGAGCTAACTATTCATCTATTATCTTCCATACGTCGACAGTTTATCATAAAACAGTACGTTTTTCATTTATAACAACTGCCACCTTTCAAATAATTGAACGACTTCAGCGAGGAACAGGGATTTCACAATTCGTTCCACCTGCATATAGGATCTACTCTTATAAGCTCTTGTCTCTTATAAACAGTACTTTTAACTGAGACAATTGTGGGATCTTGTGCCAATGTGGACATGAAAGATACAATTAATTTAAATGGAAACACGTCTATTGATAAATGTAGAAATAGAACTACGTGAACACAAAGGAGGTATTTGAGTCAAGCTCAAGAAAGCACTGATTCCATTCCGTAAATCCACTTGCTTCTCTCGTTATACACATCGTTGTTGTCGATTAGTATTCAGCACCACGTGAAAGCGAACAACAATCCCACAACTTACTAGCTCAACTTCCCTCATGACAGGATGATCAGAGAAATTGTACGTTATGAAAAGCGGGGGAAACTTGGATGTACATCTGAAAATATGTTAGTAGTTGACATAATTTCCAACTTATCTAGAAGGATTGAAACACTGACTTCCTTGAAATACTGATTTGATATAACAGTAAAAAGCGTAAACCATGATATTCAATCACTTCTACAATTATCACCGAAGTCTAGTGCATGACGCACCACTCCCCGGCATCAACGGCGACAAGTTTAGCTATTATTCCTTAAAAGTTCTTAAGCGATTGTCAGCATCTTTTCAAACAAGCGTATCCGGCGCGGACTGTGAAACAGATATGGTGCCCATCATCTAGAGAAAATTTTCGAATTATGACTACTAAACTCACAGTATATCACCTTCGAAATCACCTACTCCTACGAACAAATCTCCTACAAAATGACAATAGGCACTGTAGTATGTCAACACTAGACAGTAGCATCTGAGAAGATAACGGATCCATAAACAACGGAAAAAAGATGGATTGTTCAATGCATTTAATAGGTGTACTTTCCACGAAAACTTCCACCATACACTTGCAGGCTCGCAGTACCATGCAATGCGCAATTCTCGTTCACTCCACTCACTTCTTTATTATTAATCAGTCATTCTCGGTAGCTGAATTCTCCTTCGCTAAAAAATCTGATGTAGAACATTACAGTCATAATTCTGTCCAGCTGTAACAGATCGTTAGACCATTGCCCGATTTATGGACTACAAAAGTCAAAAATAGCAAACACCATGTGAGATTTATTGAATTAAAAAAACAAAATGAAGTTCTTCGTCGTTTAAATCAATTCCTAGTCGAAGAACTCTCAGTACAGTTTACCATATAGATAGACTATGTGAATTATTACTCCTCTTCACAACATGATAGATAAACATTTGTAATGAACAAAAGCAATAGTAATTTCATCATATGGCGAAGAATCAAACGTGTGAAGCTAATCACTCAATCGCCATTTAAAGAAAGCTCTCGATACTTTTTTGTTCGAAGAATTATACAAAACCAATTCCATGCATCTATTTAATTTGCTTTTATTCCACCAGTAGATGTAAAGGCACTTCAAATTTTAAAAACTAGTCATGCATGGAATCGTGCCGCTGATAGAAGTTCATATATGGGCGATCATATTCTCTTATACAGTGAAACTCCTGTGGAGAACAAATTCGAGTTCAAAACCTAACTAAAACTATCAGGGCACCCGTGTCGGGCGATAGGGATGAGCAAAGAAATAGAATACAACAATGTGGGCAACAACCTATCAGATTAGCACACATATCGTATATTTAACCTCTGTGCGTTCCCAAAATAAGTTCATTGATGATCGCCACTGTTTTCGCTGAGCTCTTGCCTTGTACAAATGTGTCATGATCGCCCTCAACTACGTACACTTTCGAGTCGTCCGACACTTGACCTATACCGTAGTCATGGCCAACATCCTCTTCACGAGCAGCGCCCTGTTCAGCACGCACTAGCGTGATTTGTCCCACAAACTTGCGTTCCGGTTTGTATCTGGAATCAATTTCTTGTGCTTTTAAATCATATTCATTGACAGATTATTCACTTGTCCGCCATTAAAAATTTGGATCGCATTGCTTCACAGGCGAAAGCTATTGTTTCAGGCGATTTGAAAAGTCCGGTTGTCATCACTGTGTCAACAACCTGAAGCAATACTAGTAATTGGTTAATCCCTTTAAAACACAGTTACGGAATGCAATTTTTCAGCATAAAAAACTACCTTCTGTATCCTAGCTTTGAATCCAGGTTGTTGGAGTAATTCGACACGGAATTTCTTGTAGTCGACATTGGCAAAGCGAAGCGTCATTGCGCACATGATTTCCGATTCGAAGAGTGGATTATTAACAAGTGTGTCTCCGGTGACACCAAATGCCATACGATAAACATTTCTATACGTTTGCATGTATAGATGAGATCCATCAAGAAGAATTAGCCTTTCGACCGCAAAAACACCATCCAGCTCTTGAAGCATTGTTGCCATTTCGAATCCAATACATGCTCCATACGAATATCCAACGAGCCGATACGGACCAATAGGTTGAACTTTCTTCATTTCCTGGAAAGACAAAACTAGTTTCTATGTATTTCGTATTCCTTCCACTAACAACATATTCTAAAATAGAAGACAAAACAAAAGAACACACCCTAATATAACACTTCGCAACACTTTCTATAGAATCTTGCGGAACTTCTTTTGTTGATTGGAAGCAGTAAACAGGAAAGTTACATTTGGTCATAACACGTTTAAGAGGTGTAGCAATACCCTCGATAGAATGGACGAAGAATGTTACCGGGCCCTCGTCGACCTAAAAATAACACTGCATGAGTTTTCATACTAAAAGATCAACTATTGCTCTTTTAAGTCGCAATTGAACTAGCCTTGTTGCATTTCACAACAATATCTTGAGGATCGAGGTCGTTGACATCCACGCGCATCTTGAACAGTTGGTTCATCTGTTTTTCAAGGACTTCAACGGTATTTCGCTCAGCGTCCCTCTCGGTTTCCTATACACTGCTTTATTACCATTCTGGGTACTACGAACTGTTAAACATCATTATTGGAGTATTTCTAACTTTCTTCATGTCCAGCTCAGTAGTTTGCAAAGCGGTTGTACCCTGTCCACCACTCTCAGCCAATTGCTGGAGTTTGTTCAAAGTAAGTGTACGAATATCCTTCATCGAAAGCACAATATCATAATCTCGTTCAAGGGCCTGCTTGATCTCAACACCCATTAAGGAATCAAGTCCAAGATCTCCGAGGTTTGCATCCGGGTTCAGTTGTGAAACATCGTTCACTCCAAGAATGTGCGCAATTGTCTGGAAAATGGAAAACATGCATAACAGAAGATTGTAGAAAAAACAAACCAATAGAGTACCACAAGTTTTGAGACAATTCTAGAGCATAGTCATATGACAGAGCAAGTTTCCGACAATGACTGCTTTTTCCACTCTATTAAAATAATTTACCCATTTGAAAGGAAGAAACATACGAATATATCTATACCGTCAAAAATACATACATGAACCAACCTGCAATAAATTGCCACCACCAGCGGCTTTCTTCTGGCCCATATCCGCTTTTATGTATGACGAGACGATTGGATGATTCCACGACAGGAATAAATCCAATGAAGCCAAACAAGATGGCATTCTGAAGCCACACAACGGATGAGTTGAAAAAGAGAAATACGAAAAATATCCACTTACCTTTGTGGAAGTGTTCCACCAACAACTGTATTATTATCTCCCATGTTTTCAAGTATGACACCAACATCGCCAATAGCTCCCCACTGAATGGCAATGCCAGGATATCCGTCTTCTCGTCGTTGCTCAATGATACGTTCCATAGTGGAGTTCGACCACCCATAGTTGGTCTGGCCAGCGTTACCACGACCCGACGTAATTGATGAGAATACAACAAACCAACGAAGTGCATCATCACACTGGACTCTTGTTGACTGATCGAGATTAATAGTACCATAGTACTTAGCTTCAGCTGCATCTTTGAAATTCTGGACATTCTGATTTTCAAATAAACAATCACGAAGAACCATGGCAAGATGAAATATTCCACCCAAACGATTCATCGATAGACATTGGCGGATGAGTTCATCAGTATCCGATCTCTATAAAGAATGTTGCTAGTAAAAGAAAAAAACTAATGGTTTTTAAAAACACACCTTAGCAATATTTAACGTGGAGATAAGCACAGAGATACCACTTCTCCTCCAAAAGTGGACACACCGGGCCTGATACCCTGTGCGGATACCCGAACGAGAAGTGAGGACCAGTTTCCGGGCACCACGATTGACCAGCCATTGAGCTAACTCAAGCCCGAAGCCACCAAGACCACCAGTAATAAGATACACATGCTGAGGATGACACAGCGTGCGGCAAATAGCACGCACGCTAATAGCAGATGGAGGAGAAAACCGCACATTTTCCTCCTTCCTGATCTCCATAACCACTTTTCCAATGTGTTTTCCAGCAGACATGAATCTGCAATTAGAATCGTCTACACATAAAAACTACCCACGAAATGCAAGAGTAACCTGAAAGCTTCCTCGGCCTTGTCAGCAGGGAACAGAGAGGCTGGTAGTGGTTGTACCACTCCACTTTTAATACCAGCTTCCAGTAGAGCTGCAACCTCTTTCCAATCGTCCTGAAATAAAAAAATTTAAACGATTTATTCCAAGATTACTTCAATTTCCATCGTACAATGTCCCCAACAGCTGGATCCATGATTGCATCTAAAAGAATGCCGTGGATTGAAACGTTATCAAGCAGCTTTGACATTCCCAAAGATGAGTTCTGAGCTAGATCAACTTTTCCAATTTCCAGGAATCTACCATGGCGAGCAAGACAACGAAGGGACGCTTGCAACATTTCGCGAGCAAGAGAGTTCAGCACGATATTGACCCCTCGTCCCTGCAAGTATAACAGTGTGAACGCATATCACTGCGAAAGGATTTTTTTAGAACACTGTACGCACCTTAGTGTACTGACGAATGTGTAACTCAAAATCAGCCGAGCGAGAGTTGGCGAAATGATGATCCTTCAATTGTGGAAATTTTTTCTTAAGATATGCTCGCTTATCCAGCGATCCAACAGTAGTGAAGACTTCACAACCATAAGAGAGTGCAATGGCAATTGCGGCCTGCCCCACTCCACCAGCTCCTCCATGAATCAGCACTCGTTCACCCTGATAAAAGACGCGGTTTTTCTGTATGTTATACCCTAGGCGAGGGAACATCAAGTCCATTACTACGAACTTTTTTTATACGCCCACGACAAACGAGTGCATAATATGCCGTTGTGTAGACGACAGGTACAGTGGACGCCTCAGCCAAAGTCCACGCATCAGGCACCTCCCACGCGTATTCGCGATCAACAATAACGGACGTAGCCAATGCCTAAAAACCAAAACTAGGAATGGTAGCAAAAGTGAGATTCGCAGTTTCTAATCCATGATCGGTGCTTAGCATAAACACATCGAAAATCACCTGAGCAGGAAGTATTCCCATAAGACGAGTGCCATCTTTCAATCTTCCAGCAAATTCCATTCCAAGCAAACACTCGCGGTCAGCAAAGTTCCCTGGTATCGCGTCCGGTGACAGGCGACCATAAGCCAGCATAACATCGCGGAAATTGATAGGAGCATAGTAAACGTAGCAAAGTTCATGCGTGCTTTTCTGAAGGTCCATTAGATAAAAAGCTGACTTTCATTTTCAACTGAGCAATCTGACACTTACTCGGGAGTCAATAGCGTCAAAATATTGATTGGGAGATTCAAACCATGTAAGCGACGAAACGTCTCCACGTGTCAGCGTATTAATGAATGCGTGCTCACAATCCTTAACCATGTGAGTGTCTTCTGAAAAGCAATGAAGGTAAATATGGAACTCTCCTAAATTCAAGCACCTCAGAAATATTCACTAGGTATTCAAATGTTATTTGAATTCACCATCCTTGACGACGAAATGTCGCAACGAGCCCCAAACTCCGTCTCTATAGTTGTTAGCGTGCAAGTCGAGATCAATGATCGCTTGCGTTCTTGGATCATCAAGTTTCACTTCTGGTGGACCTTCACGACGTTGTTTGTTTAGAGAGATATCAATGAGTGAGCGGAAACGATTAGACTTGAGATTCTCTTCCACGAAACACAGTGCAAGACCAACGACACCGTTGCTGCGCACCTAAAATGCAAAACCTTTTTTTGAGAAAAGGAAAATAACGGCGAAAGAAGATCAAAAGAATATACTTTAGTATTCGTAAGCCAAACTGTCTTGCTGTCTGGTTCATTAAGTCGTTCCTCGATGACCTTTTGGAGAGGTTCGATCCAAGTAAACTCCTTGACATCATCAACATCGATAAACACTGGATCACGTGGAATAGTTTGAGTCTTCCGGATTGCGTACGCAGTTGTCATCAAGGCAGGGTCACGTTGATAATTACAGACTTTGAAGCCAGTCTCTTTGAATATCTGCATAAGCTGCTCATGCGTGAAGTATGTACCCAAACGACGATCAGCAGCAACAGATAGTTCATGTCCAAATAGGCCTAAAAAAGCAAACGCTTTGCTTCATGTTGACTGATACAGCAAAGCATGACTTCGAGTTCACATAAACACACCTTGAATGACAGCTGCCAGTTCATACTCCGAAGTGACTTCAACGACAATAGCAAAACCGTCATCACGTAAAAGGTGCTTGCAAGCATTAAGATATGCAATAGGATCAGCTTTCCTACAAAAATGCATGACGCTCATAAGAACTCAAAATAAGCTAAAAAGCTGACAAAATCGCAAAGTGGAGAAACGGTAGGCTATATGTGAATGCCTGTATTCTTACCTACAAAGTACCTTGTCCAGAAGAAGATAATCCATGTTCTTAGCGTCGTTATGTCCAGTGAAATCTGCATCAATGTTCAGACGTAGCTTGCGTGCTCCGATTTGCTCAAGTGAATTTTCATCAACATGATCTATGTTCGGCCCGACGCACAAGCATTCGACCTGGAAGATGACAGCTTGAATGAAGTCAATACTATAAAATATCATATCTGTTAAAACCTCCAGAAGTGGATGAGAAATATTCGCTTCGAGGCATTTCTTCAGTTGTTCGAAGGAGTTTAACTCAACAGCACACAACTTAGATAAATGGCCAGCAGAGTTTTCCACGCAAACATCCTGAAAGAAGCTGTCAGCAGAGAACGAATTTTGGAAAAAAGAGAACAATTTCAGCGTACCTGAACTGTTTTGATCACTCGGTCCAGATTTAGGGCGCTAGCCCATAGGCGGTCACAATCAAAAACGGCCTTCACAAGCTTCAGCTTATTCACAACAACTGATTCAAAATCGGCTACGGTCATGTCGTTGGTGAATTCAAGTGCAAAGATCTCATCGAAAGCATGAATCACTGAGCATTTACTATCTTCAAGAAACTTGCGAAGTGCATCCTCAGTGACCACCATGAACTCAAACGGTTTTAAAACGTTTAATGCAGCCTTCAAAACTTTTCCGTTTGTCATTTTACTCAAGATACCACTTTTCTCCCATGACGCTAATCCTCGAGCGATCACTAAAAGCTTGGAGTGACATACAAATCGAGTCCAAAATAAAAACAATGAAAAAATTATTTATAAATTGTTACCATGTTTCAGAGCGTTAGAATACTGAAGAATGATGTTTCTGTCTTTTTCAAAGTTTTTCAAGCAGTTGTCATCACAGTGAGGTACAAAGAAAATACGTTCATGGTAAAGCTTAAAAATACAGGCAAGAAATTATAACGACGACATATAACATTGAAAACATATTCATCGAAGGCCTAACCTGTCCAGAAACCTGAATACGGCGCGAAACCGTGTGTGCAGTCAGATCACAACATTCGACGCCACCTGCTATACATCCATTTGTAGCATGGTCGTTACGGAGTTCAAACATCTTTAAGGAACAAAAGTAGTAAATACGTTGGAAATATCACTGTAGCCGCCGAAGGTACAAAATCTAACCTGGATACCATCTTTCTCTATAATATGCTCAAGATGTTTAACAGGATCGATACGTAGATGGCGAACTCGTGTTGGTAACCGAAGGGTGTCGGCACGTTCAGCGAGTAACGCAGTCTGCAGCAACGAATCAAGGAAAGTCACCCAGTTGCCCGTCCAGTACAGATATCCACGCTCACCGGAGTTACACGTTTTATATATTCCACGGAAGGCTTGGCCATATTCATAACCTAGTTGCGAACATATTAGAAGCGCGATCAGACTACCATTACTTCCGAAATACATGATGGAAACTAACCTCTTAAGAGAAACTCCTTATAGGCATCTTCACTGTCGAGCTCAATTCGATCAGCAATCTCCGATGTTCGAATATCGCTAAGCTTACCATAATAAAAAGGCTGATTCTCTTCAGGAATGTAGATCCTTCCAGATGCCGCCACCTGTTCCTCTGACAATATTTCAAACATGCCGTTCCCAGGAGTAATGACGCAATCAAGTTTGACTGAAAGAATGCTTAGAAAAGCAAGAGTTAACAGCATATTAGAATTGTGAGTTAAAACGTACTTGGCTTCGTTAACATTGTAGCTGAATAGACATTAATATTTTCAAACACAACAGGAGTTTTCTGGAAATCCACTCCATTCAGTTTTGCAAGTGTTTTCCATGCAAGCACCATGTAACCAGTAAACGGATAAAGTACGCGACCATCAATACAGTGGTCAAGCAAAAATGATTCCTGAAAAAATAGGCCAGTCAGTCAAAATACGGATAAAGAAAACTATAGATAGAAAAAAGGCTACATACCTTCGAATCAGCGGAAAATGGGTCAATATGGTATGATGCAGATACACATGGAGAACCACCACCTGCGGCAATCAGTTGACGACCATTGATTACAGGCCAGTCCTGAGAGTGGTCCCATTTCCACATCGGTCCGATCATAGGAGTTCCTTTTGGAACTACACCTTTGAAACGACCACCAGGGTAAAGATCCTCTACTCGAATGTTGACACCAGTCTGGTAGATTTTGCCAAGTGACTAAATAAGTAGCAGTATGGGTCGAAACAACTATACACACCATCCTATGAAACAAAATCATCATGCCTGCAGAAAAGTCTCAAGCTCGTTTTCGTTCTCGGTCTTCGGTTTATTCATGAGACCAACATTGCTAACGGTTTTATGCAATGATCGACGCAAGACAGCTTGCATAAGAGAGTGTGGTGCCATTTCGATTGTAACTGCACTTGGAGGGATTTTCTGAAGGGCTTCATAGAACAGCACAGGTGATATGGCATTGTTCACATGGTAGTCAGCAGAGCTGAAATCAAAGCAAATAGAGCAACCTTAACAATTTTTTTCTGAAGAAAGAATGTATTAACCATGTGCTTGCTAGTTCACTCTCCCACTCATCCTCGGGTATAGAAGTAGAAATCCAGCGAGAAGACCGAGGTTTCGGTTCAGGAACAGCAGTGCGCATTGCTTCGAGCATAGGCTGTTTGACGCGTGCCATTATAGGTGAATGGAACGGTATCCCAGAGGAGTCGACGGCCTAATATTGTTATGAACAACACAAAACACTTAAGAATAAGTTACTAATTACCCAGTAAAAACGGTTTCGATGTAACTCACCTTGGCAAAGATACCTTTCTCTTTCAGCTGCTCACAAAACTGTAACACCCTATCGCCGTCACCTGATATAGTGACAGAATCTGCACCGTTGTGACACGCGGCAACAACTCCCTCAGGACATTGTGCCTGAGCTTCCTCCCAGGTCAAACCAACAGCTGCCATGCCTCCCTTAACAAGTTGCAAGCTACTTATCTTTCAACATAAACTGAAAGCATTTTTTAGGAAATCACTTTTATTTCTTTGTGTTTCATCATTGTTGTTCCACGATGATATGCCAGCCTCATTGTCTGCTCACGTGTAATACCACCATCAGCATAACCACATCCCATTTCACCAGTTGAATGACCAATGATACCATCAGGAGTAACCCCTTAACAAGGTGCTATCGCTATGATGTAACATTTTACATCGTTCGACTTCGAAAATTTAGTGAATCCACTTACCTAGAGAGAACAATAAGTCGGTCAATGCAATCTGAATAGCAGTGATGGCAAGCATACAGTTAAGGGTATTATTTTGATACTGAGCAGGATCAGAGTTGCATAACATTCCATACACATCCACACCAAATTCTTCCAACGTCTAAATATGTGCACTTTGACGACAGGCTTCACATGTACACACATGATGAGAGTCAAAAAGTGATCCAAATCACCTTGCTTGATGCACGCAACGATTCGTCGAATACTGGAATCATCATTAGGTTCTGACCCATTCCAGGCCATTGTGAGCCCATGCCGGAGTAGATGAAATAGATTGGTCGTGGTTCGGTGATCGAAACCTAACCCAGAAGAATTTTGATGAAACAAATTTTGTAGGTTGAAATCAGCCACGTTTTCTAACCTTCTGTACATCCTTGAGGGGAGGTTGGTCACCACTTCTATTCACGAGCATATATCCTCTATATGGAGTATCTTTGGCTGGAAGGTTGGCTTGATTTGCAAGCAGCGTCTGTAGATACCCGTCATTTACGTTATTCTCAACGACACTGAAAACGTGCTGCACAGCATCCTGAGTACGCCCACAGTACCTGAAAGATAATGAACAGATGGTAGTCAATGAACAACTGAAGTCAAAACTATATTTCGAGAATGACTGACGTCAGAATTTTAGTGAATGGCACTTCACTTAGAGGTGGAGAAGTGTGGTCTGCAGCCTTGAGAATGACATGAGTATTAGAACCTCCAAATCCGAAAGAATTCACTCCTATGATTCCTCCAGGTAACGGTGTCGGCTCGGTGACAACTTTTAATCGACCATCGATAAGACCAGGGATATACTGATTCGGTGTATTGAAATGAAGATTTGGTGGCAGCATTTTACGTTCTATTGCCACGACAACCTGAAATATACATTAGCACTAGCCAATTAAGTAGTAGTGTAATATTGAAACCATAGACTTGATTCATTATAGCTATGCTGTTAGTACACACCTTTGCGATAGAACAAAGACCTGAAGCGGGCTCTGCATGACCCATATTGGATTTTACGGATCCTATGAGAAGTGGACCTTTTCGGTTGGAGCAAAATACTTGGCATATCGCATTCGCCTCCTGCGGATCTCCCACTTTTGTTCCAGTCCCATGTGTTTCCACATAGTAAACGCTATTGGGATCAATCCCAGCTTCACTGTAAACTTCCTCTAATAGCTGCGCTTGGCGCTCTCCTGATGGGAACGTGATTCCTTGTTCCTTGAAGCCTTAAAGAAAGACATGTCACAGTAATGTTAATATATGTTCGGACTAAGTGGCGCAGAACATACCATCAGTATTCGATTTTGCGTGAACTACTGTAGCATAAATGCGATTCGCCTTTGATTTCCGTTGAATGAAGATGGCAGCAATTCCTTCGGTGCGACAGTAACCATCGCCTGAGTCATCGAAGGAACGGCAGCTGCCTTTGTCTGTCAGCATTCCGAGACGCAGGAACTGTAGTGCGGCCGTCGGTGTGAGTGTTAAATGAGCTCCAGCGACAATGGCAGCATCACACTGTTTCTGAAGACGAACAAGGTATTACTCTCAGCAGTAGCTAGATCGCAATCAAGGTAACGTGCCTGGCGGATAGCGTCAATGGCCAATTGAAGAGAAAGTAACGAACTGGAGCAGGCAGTATCCACGGAAAACGATGGACCTTGCAGATCGAAAGTATACGATAAACGATTTGAGAACATGGATCGCACACATCCTGTCAGAGTATAGCCGGTGACAGTTTCCGGATCCTGAGTGAGTGCACCGGACGTTTCAGACGCCGAGCATCCGACAAAGACTCCCGTTCGAGAACCTCGCAAATCGACAGGATTGATGCCTAAAAGCGGGAAATATTGCTTTTAGGTAGCAAAGATGATGTAGTAAAGTTAGAAATTCCACTAATATATAGTACACTTCATCACTTAAGATAGCAGATTTTATTTCAAGTAGTTCAAGGTTGCGTGGTACAGCAGGGCACCCAACTATTCTATCGCTGCACTCTGAGTCTCGGAAAATCGCGCATTCTCTACACGCTTCCCTAACCGTCACAACAATTGTAGAGAGAGCTGTCCGGCAGTTCACACCCACCATCGTATAACATATTCTCAATCTAGTTTTAGAAATAGCCAAATCGTTTTATGTATGTGCACAGAAAAACGAAACCTCGAAGAAAACCTGTCACCAACTCAATCAAGCATTCGAGTGAGCAAGTCGGAAAAAACAGCAAGCGACAATTATAATGTTAACTCAAATTTACAAAGTAATACCTGCATCGACCATCGCCTCCCACGCGACTTCAAGGAGTATTCGAACTTGAGGATCCATAAAGTTCGCTTGCTTAGGAGTCACAGAAAAGAACTGAGCATCAAACTTTTTGAGGTCCTTGAGTTTGCCATGTCGCTTCGGTAGATCGTAGAAGCCTATAACATATTTCCATTCAAGAATTTCTCATTTTTGTTAGAGGCAACCACACACCTTTGTCAGCTGAAAATCTAGTCGGTAAGGTCCGACACTCAGGATGTATAGAAAAGTAGTCTGCGGAATAGTGTGGAAGCAATACAATACTTGGTACGAACCTGGTGGCCACCTGAGATCGTCCTCCGTTATGAGATCCTCTCCTTGTAGCAACAGATCTCCAAACTCATTGACGTTCTCACATCTATGTACCAAAGAAACTATGAAGAGGGAAATTTCGATATGACAATAACAGCAATAGATGTTATAATGTATAGCATTAAAAGAGTTGTTTCAGTTTGATTCCAATGAAGAAAGTAAATGAATGACAAAAAAGGAGAGAAGTCATCGTAAAAAGGAGGCACGACACAATTATTCGTCCACCTCGGGAATCTTCCTGACACTCCAGAAATCACTATTTCTTCTTGGTCCTTCCACCATGGCTGGTCGTTAGACGACATACTCTCACCGGACTGGAAATTGGTAGGAATCATTGAATTGGTAGAAATTCATGTATAAAGCCAAAGAACGTCAAAATTAACAAAAACCTTTTACAATGAATTTTCAGTTGCAAGCGAAACGACAAGTGTAGATCTAGGCTGTCGTGACAGACAGTGCGTTAACTCAGACGCACAATAGCAGTACTCCAGAAAGGAAACATCGAAGAGAATTGATCGAATTCATTGAGGTGAGGTGCAGGATGAGTCATAAATAAAGGAAGGAAGGAGGGCGAAGGTAAAGTTGGGCGAAGTGTGCGAAATCTCACCGCCTAGTGGCGATATAAATACGAACGTGAGGAGCGTGATGACAACGAATACACGAATAAATACGAAGAACGTAAGCGTAAGATGGCCGCACAGTGCTCGCAAAGTCATTGGCCGTTAAAGGTCGCGATGCGATACATGATAGTGCGACCCCCAAGTATAGGCGAACCAACTTGGTTCAAAAGCAAGACATAACTACTATGTTGACATGACATCCATTAACATCTTTAGCAGCTGCGCGTCTGCAGTGTGTCATGTATGTGACACGTCGATAGGCGGCGGTTGTCGTATAGGTCGCGGAAGAGACTCTCGAGAATGGAAAGCATGAAGGTGATGATGATTACTACCTACAGGAGCTATACGGCTAAATTGTCACGGTTTAGGTTGACCAACTAGAGCAAACTACAGGAGAGCAACCGAAGACGAGAAGAACATCAGATGTTACTGGAAAAGAAGATAACAAGTAATCAAACAGATTTGCATGTCACTCTACATGTCATCACTTCCATATGCATTGCACACACCAACGCTGGTTCGCAAATAAATGCCGCTAGCTCTCCAACAGTCCCAATGATAATGCGTAATGGCAAATTAACGTAATAACTATGCAGAGGTTAGAATACAAAGCGCGAATTTGTAGGCACCTGAGAGTTATCCGAAACGCGTTCCCAGCCACCAGACATGTCGGAAGAATGCGCACTGCCTTTCTCCATAATGCTTATCGACACCTGATCGCAATCCCGTCGAGAATCGTCACTTCTGAAATAGAGCATCGTCAGAGAGTTTACCTGTCCTATTGCGCGACCAAATAAACTACACGACAAGAAAGCTACAGATCTTAAAACGCGATAATATTGAACAACCGGAATTGTATTACCTTGAACATGAACCATTACTAAATGAACAACAACAACAACAATGTTTTCGATCGTTGCTGAAAAAGGAGGGGTTCTATTCTAGATATCGCTATAGATAAAGCTAAGCGATAGAATTGCATATCGGGTCGTACAGAGTGTTGGAATCAAATTTGAGATCTCAGCGCACTGAACGCTTACATGAACTGGTTTCCGTGCCGTTCTCAGCTGTCAACTAGGAACGATTAAGTGAAAAAAGGTCGAACAGCAGTTGCAAATCGTGCCGCATTATTTTAGTATTTAGACATTTTGATCAAGATCTAAAGATAAGATTCACAAGAAGTCAGCAATCGATTAGGCAAGAACGACGATGATTGTGCGGACTGGGGGCTATGGTATGAAGAGGATTACATGTCATGCAGACTCGTGAAGGTCGATGTGGCGAACTACGGTCCGCCCTCTAGAGATTCATTTCACGTAATTTAAGAACGAAATTCTCCCAAAAATACTGTAGTAATAAGATTAAAGCACAAGTCAGGTTCACGTTGTTTTCAGTGAAAACCGCAAAAGTTGTGTAAAAAGTAAAGAACGAATGAAGCGATGCTTAACCAAAGCACTCAACAGAGAAACGATACGATACAAGAGGATAGGGAGTTGTTAGGGTGATAGGTGTCGAACGCAGACCGAACCACCAATAAAAAGCACTGAATATGGCTCTGAACGGTCTAAAGCGAACTGGAATCGATAGGTCAAAGTCGATGATCGCTGAAAATGTGTGTGTGGCAGCGATACGATCTTCAGAAGATGTTTAGACAAATACAATAATGATTACAATATTCGGGAAGATGAACTCGTTTTGAAAGTACGAAAACGATGATGAACCATGAAGATACCGGGTGGGAGTGCTTTTCACGACTGAAACTTCTTTCACGCGACACGTATGTAGAAAATTTGCGATAGCGGAACATGATATTGCATTCATTGTCTTCTTTCAAACATAGTGGTGAACAGACGCAGTAACGTAGTATCTTGTCTGTCATATGTCTTGCGAATTCATATCAACACAGTGTACAATAAACTAGAGAAAAGATCGAGTTCTCGTTGTTCGCTGTCTCGTTCAAATCAAATAATGTAAATAGATCAAATTGTGAATAGATCGACGATTTGCACTCGTATTTGTCAGTGAGACGACGACGACGACGATGAAAACGACGATGACGATGATGACGACGACGGCCAGTGGTGCCGTACGTGAAGGCGACTAGAGCCGCGTGCGTATGTGTGGATGGATGAATGGATGGACGGGCGGATGGATGGGATGGTCTGCGCCATACTTATAGACAACGCGGTCTGAGACACGACCTTGTGATCGGACATTGTAATCTGTGCTCAGAATGTCTTCCCATCTCGAAAAAGAAGCTAGAAAAGCATTGTTGCGAAAGGCACGACGATCAACCATGCACGGAACTGTGTTCACACAGACACGTTTCGTCACAACTTCATGTATACTTGACAGATGTATTTCGAGTGTTATCACATACTGAATCATTTACGTTACTCTTAGTATTAAAATAATGGTTAGAGGATTAAGAAAAAAGGTCTAGATCTATGCTACATACCACGTATACACGTGTACGCAACACAGTAATACGTTTTCACTGACATTGCTCTTGTTTACACTATTAGACACTCAGCATTACTAGAACCATTAACTTGTTTCGCGAACATTTAACTTCATCGAGGTCAGAATGTTCACGGCAATTTCATTAGTGAAGTGCTCCTTGTGTGTAGATAAATTTGAAGTCATGAGTCGTTTCACTAATGCGACATGCCACAGACAAGTTTACAAGTACCTGGACACTCTTACCCTTGAATAGAACTTCTTCAAGGCACTTATCTATTGTTCACTTGAACAGGCGATTATTTCTTCACACCAAGCACATGAGGCATATGAAGTTTTGTACTCAGTGTCGGAAAAAGCGTCGATTGGGTACGTTTTATCAGCTATGAAAGTAAACGAATATTAATTCAGAACCATATATGAATATATATTCCTGGCGTTTGCGCATGTGGAGAATTCTGTTGGAGGGAATATTAGAAGAAGCGTCGAGGTAGTATGGAACAGAGTAATGACGAATGAATGAATAAAGGGGCAAATGAATGAATGGAGATCCCTCTACATTGTCCATTTAGGGAGAGGTGAGAGGTTTCGTGGCAACCTATTCACTGAGAGGAAGTCGTTGAAATTATTGATGGTATGTGTAGAAACAAAGACGATCCTCTACGAGGTAAAGGAATTTCTCTTTGTATTTAAAAACAAACAAACCGCTTCTCGACGTGTTCCAGAATATTTAATACTTTTTCCCTTTATGAAAGAAAAAAGACGTTAAAATATTGTCTTTTTTGCTCTAGATGAAAAAGAATGAAACGTAAGAAACCGGAAACGATAGTACACATTGTAATTGCACGATAAGTGACCAGAAGACAGAGGAAGTAAGAAAAACCGTTGGTTATCAAAAATCAAATGAACAAACGAGTTATCAAATTGTGAATGTTACGCTCTGTACTAATTACATGAAGCGGAAGGGTAATGGTACAAATTACATTGAAGATACCCTGATTTTATACAGACATATGATTTAATACCCTGTTACCACATTGTAGATGAATTCCAAATCTACAAGAGAAGCAAGTTCGAAATCTTCCAGTGACGTTGTAGACGGAAAAAGAGACGCCAAAGCCGAAGAAGAACTTACACGGGAACACAAAGAATTGACAGTAGCTAATTCGAGAACCAGAAAACTACATACAGGTCAAGTGTTGTGAAGTTGCTCGGAAGAGCTCTCCGACGTGACGGAAAACAATGACCATTATATAAAGTCGGTCAGCGTAGGACTCGAAGCTTTCTCCGGTCAACGTTCAGCTTTCGTATGTATGCATATATATATATTTATTTATTTGTTTATTTTAAGGTATGCAGCGTTGATCAGTAGCTGAAGAGTGCGTCATGTGTTCGACTAATAAGCACTGTTCGAGCCAAACAAATGCATATCTGGCCTATCCGACTTGCAGTGACCTTCCAATGTATTCAGTCCATGCTGCTATCCTCCCAGACAAGTATAATAATATTGCCGATCCTGGACGGATGGAAAGCCTGGCAAGCCCAGGCCATGGGAGCGAACTAAAACCATGTGTTTACTACAGGGAACCGCTAACCACTGCGCCACACTATTTCCAATTTATATATATATATATATATTACTGTACCAATCAATACCCCCACTATATGGCTTAAACGAATAGCATTTTCACTACAGAATAGAAAAAAAAGTTCAAAATCTTCCTATGATGACATTCATGGACGAAAAATATGTGACAGGAAGATTAGCGACGCGTATACCAGAAGAGACCACACGTACATGACAAAGAAACGCGAGCAACTAATTCGAGAACTAGAAAAATCCAGACAAGTTGAATGTGAAGATGCGCGGACTTTTCAGACGTGGCGGAAAATAACAACTGCTGTTTAAAGTAGGTCGGCGTAGAACTCGGAACTTTTCGGGTCAATATACAATCAATTTTATCATGTGCAGTGCAATGTGAAGGCAAGAACCAAGACGGAGATTCATAAACCAGTTGAAAAGTTATCAACTATTCAAGATCAGTTTACTACCTATCATAGTACGTTATATTACACAGTTCTTCGCACGTCAAACAAATGAGTGACGTGATTTATCAAATTAGAAAAGGATAAACCACCTTTTAGACTTGATCTGCGGTCACATGGGTGCAACTTTCGATTCAGTATTGTGAATCAAGGGAATGAGCAGTGAAACGGGTCAGACCTAATGCGATGTCGAATCTGGACTTTCGCTT